CCCCCGCCCCCGTCTCTCACCCTTTGGCTCCTCAATCTACATTTTCACTGACTACCTGTCTCGCATGCATACCAGACCAGCCTCTGGCTTCTTTACTTTTCATTCCATCTAGGAAGAGCACACACCAACTGCTGAAACTTCCTTAGCCTGATGAAGGGTTTTTGAACTCAAAAGCTTACTTAATAATTGTTTTCCAACAATTTAAGTTGGTCTAATAAAAGATATCAGATTCACGCAAAGAACCTTGTCTGCTTCGTAGGTATCATTTTCTTTTAACATATTTGTATACTTAAGAAAAACAATTGAATATAATCCTTCCTTCAGTTAAGCAGTTTGAATTCCCCATAGCCCTCACTGGACCTACATGAAATTAACATTCACAAAGATTTCTATACTCCTGTATTTACATCGTTTTTGCATTATTCATGATGGTAACATGGAGATGCCTTTTGTGATCTTTCAGCTAGATGTGTGTTTATCATTACTGTATTAACTTATTTCTGTTTAAGAATAGGTTAACGTTGGATAAGGTAGATATACCATAAAATATATTTTCTTTTGATTAAGTAGAATTCAAAGCATAATGCCCCTCAGTGAAGAGACTACATTCCTTCTACACAGGATTGGGCATATCCATAGTTCTCTGCATATTTGTGAAAAATCATCTACTCTAACGCAAAGGGTATACCAGGGGCCATGCCTTACTATGGTTAGTGGTCTCAGCACTGAGCAAGAACATTTCATCTCTGTGTACAGAGCTGATGCTTACTGCAGTTGAGGGGGATTCTCAGTAAGGAATCCTTACTTTCTGGAATTCATTCATGTAAAGAATGCTTCTAAATATAAGCCTAGCTATCTTAAGGAATAATATAAAGCTTGTCTTTTTTGCTCAGAATTTATTAACTTCAGGTTTAGAGTTTCTGGCACTTAGCCAGATGGCTGGTTATCTGTATGTGACCCTTTATAGGTAGGTTCAGTGTGGAGGTAGTAGAGTAAATGCTGGCTATTTTGATGCAGACAGAGAAATATAACCAAACATTATACTGGTAGGTGCTCTAGAAATGTATGCATGTAATACTTGATCAATATTATAGGCTTTTCACTTTGTTTATTAACAATGTACCTGTTTACATAGTTTGCTTCTAATATAAAAATAACACATTCAAGGTTTTAATGACTTTTCCACACCCTATTGTTTGTCAACTGTGTTAGACGCTTTCCCTGCTAATTTTGTCTTTTTGGCAAACATTCATTATTTTTTCCATTCTTGATTTAATAGTGTGGTAGCCAACACTGACTTGTTTACTTATTTGTGCACTAACATAACAGATAACATCAGCAGGAATGTGTACTACTTTAGGAATGATATTTAAGGAGGTAATATCCTATGTTGAGATCAAAACACGAAGTTGCAATTGGCTTTTTAAAAAATTACAAAATCATGCATCTCAAAGGCTTTGAAAAGCTTTTTTTTGTGATTTTAAAAATAAATCCCTTGTATTTGCAATCACACTTAGTAGTATTGTGCTCAGTGCTTAAGAGTTGTGAAGTGAAATCAACAATTAACTACATCAGAATAGTTTCATTATCCACACTAAATGAAAGGTAGAAAATAGTGGGGCAGTATAAATATGTTCTTATTGACTGCTGAGGGGTTTTTGTTTTTTAAATTTAAAATTATCTTTAATAAACTGAGTGCTCTTCTTCAGGCAGCAACTTTAAAAATATGCTAAACCTAAAAAAAAATGGTAAAATTAAAAAATTGTAAGCATATTTTATTCTTATGTGTATGGATGTGTATATGCGTTATGAATATTGAAGTCATCTGTTCCTATCTTTCAATTATACTGAAAACTTTTCAGCAAGTTTCCATAGTGGTTTTGATCCCTGTGAACCTAATGGACAAGGTTTCTATAGTCTCATGGGTTTCATGCTTAGATCCATAGCTGACCATTTTGTTGCAGCTCCATGTGTGACAAGATATGAAAATTATTAAATTAGCTACTTTGCTATATTTGGAAATAACACACAAGTAGTCATAAATTTCAGGTTATGACCAATGCATCCTTCTTAGTTAATGGCAGTGGCTAGAACATAAATCTGCCCCAAACTTGTTAGCTTGGTTGAGGTAGGTGAAGGGGTACTAGAGGCTGTTAAGAGCATCTGAGATGCTGAAATACTTGACATTTGAGGTGTCTGGAAGTTAAGTAGGAGGCACTGAGTTGTAGCATTGTACTGTGTGTGTATAATTGTCACGGGGCGGGACACTACGAGCAGCCGTGAACCCTCCTAACGCCCCTACCGTGCCAAGTGACTATAAAACGCACCCTCGATCTCGCCCGCCACGTCTTTGCTGGTAATATTGTTAAAGGGAGGCTACCTTTTTCTGTCCTCCTTGGCATGGTTCCCAGGTGTACTCCCGCCTGTACCCCATCTACCGATAATTCTGGGCACTCCCGCCACAGGGCTATATGTGGCTCCTACCACCCCTAATACCACGTCCCAAACTTCTCAGATGTACCGGACGTTGTTGAGTCAAAAAAAATACTATTGTTGCCCACGTCCTTGCGGACGCCCTCCGGGCTTGTCTCCCACTTAAGGCCCCACCAGGCCCTACTCTGTCTTGTCGCCCTCTCCAGGGCTTCTCACCAAGCTCGCGCCCTCTCCGGGGCCTTGCTCGTGGTCGCGCCCTCACTGGGGCTCGGCTCAATAGGGCTCAGGTGGCATCGGCCTTACCTGGCCCTCACGACCCCCTTCTGGGTCCTACACCCTACTGGGGCTCGGCTCAATAGGGCTCAGGCAGCATCAGTCTTACCTGGCCCTCACTGCACTGAACCCCCTTATCAGGATTGGGGTCAGTGCATCCTCTAACTACTTTGCCCTTCTCTGGCACCAGACTGCTGTGCCCTTCCCTGGCACCAGGAACCCCCACACTACTGGGGAGCTCCTATGAGGCCTCCTTCAACCCCTTATAGCCTCACCCGGTCCTCCGGTTGTATGAATAACTAAAACAATAAGCCAATCGGCTGTAATGCAAAAAAACCCAACTCACACTCTAGCCTCCTGGCTTAAAACCTAAACCCTAAGCCTTCTGGCTCATCATTATTTCCATCCCTGCCAGGGCTCCTCTGCCTGGTATCCTCACCCAAAAGCAGCTCAGGTCATCAGGCTTCCCAACTCTGCCTACTCCCGGCAGAGCTCTCTCCTTCACGGCTGCCAGAGGGGAACTGCCCCTGGGCCTCAGCCTAGGCTGTTTATAAAGGCCAGGCCCTGCCCCCTTCCGGTCAGCTGCCCTCTGGAGTTGCCCTGGCAACCCACACCTGTCCTTCCTTAGGAGCAGGGCACTTCAATGCCCTGCGACAATAATGTACAAAAGCTGTGTACTTGCATGGGTGCTATTTGTAGTCTGTTGAATCTTGGGTCTATAGTCCTACATTGCATGCTGTGATCTTGATGAGGGAGGTTTGGGTCAGTAGTGCTCCCTCTCTATCTCTGTTGCTTTCCTACTCCATCCAAGTTGAGGAGCAATGATAGGAGACAGAGGCAGCCTGCCAAGTAGATTCTCACTAAGTACAGACAGTCAAAAACTTGAGGCTGAATTGATTCAGTCTTTGCAGGTTAGTCTAAGATGCAAAGATTGAACCAATAAGCAAATGAACAAACATTCACTTTTGATTCAGGAAAATGCAGCCACATGCCTGCAGTGGCTCAAGCTAGAAGCTGGGGGGCTCTAGAGCATGGCTTTCTGGCATGTAGCCAGCATTAGCTGTGTGTTCATTTCCTCTTCTTGCTGTCCCTGAGGTCTCTGGGATTTACATTTCACAGACACAGCAGCAGGGCTCTGCAGGGTTGCTTATCAGGTACTCTGGGATTTGTAGTCCCCAGTTGCAGCCAGCAATAAGTAAGTCAGCAGGGTAGGGCAGCTCTGTACTTGGGAGAAGGGGAGTTTAACCCCCTCCTTGGCCCTAAACCTCAGCCAGCGTTTGCCTGGGTTGGGGGGGAGGGGCAGGGAAGTGAGCCAACCCTCACTGCTTCAGCTCGGGAGCAGAGCACTGGGGCCAGCCCTGCTTTCTGGAGTAGACAGCACAGCCCAGCACAGCCCAGGGGTGCAGAACATGCTGGGATGCTGAGAGACTCTGATTTAACTTGAACCAGGGAGAGGTCTGGGACAGAAGTTTCATAAAGCAATTTGACCTAAGTCAGTTAAGTCTGATACTACATTCAACCAGGTCTATCTTAAACCAGTTTCAGCCATTTTGAAATTGGTTTATGTATACTGAATTTATGTTCTGTTACAGGTTTAAACCAGTTTCTGATCACTTAAACCAGTTCATGTGTAATTTCTGTCCCTAGCCTTAATAGCTAAGTGGGCTAGGGACAGATATTACACATAAAACCCATTTACGTGATCAGAAACTGGTTTAAACCTGTAACAGAACAGATGTTCAGTGCACATAAACCAGTTTGACAAAAACCTGGTTGAATGTAATATCAGACTCAACTGATTTGGGTCAAACTGGTTTATGCAATATCTGTCCCAAACCCCTTCCTGGGTTAAGTTAAATCAGAGTCCTCCAGCATCCCAGCTACTTTGCAACTCTTGGCAGGGCTCTGCTCTCTGCTCTAGCCCAGGAGTGCTGACCCCTCCCCTCTGCTCCCTGGTTGCAGCTTTGGCAGAGACTGCAGATACCGCAAGGTCTGCCTGGCTGTCTCCCGCTCCCCGCCCCCATCACCACTCCCTGCTCAAGCAGGGATTCCCTACTCCCCTCTGCCTTACAAAGACACCTCTCAGCATTAGCTAACATAACACATGCTGGCTATGGTCTGTGCTGTGGAAGACAAGACAAAGGCAGACAGGACAGTGTGAGCTTAGGGCTCTTTGGAGCTAATCAACAGACCAGCTGGTAATGTCCCTCCATTCCTTCCTTGGAAAAAGTTGTTTAAGAAGAGCTTGAACTTATGAGAGAGGCTGTTGTTTTGCTGATGGGGTGATAAATGCTAACAATTCCCTGTGTAACTCCCTGCTGTGTAACTCAATTCTCTGTTACCAACAGTTGTGGGGAGGGGGGTTGTCCCCTCCCTAATCAGAGCATCCTGCTGGGGCCTGGCCATGACCTCCCTTTCTACCACCACCACCCCCCATAGCACTGTGGAAGGGAAGGAAGGACTGCTCTAGTACCCCCCCAGCTTCTAGTCTGAGCCACTGCAGACATATGCCTGCATTTCTTCAGTCCAAAGGGGATGTCTTTACTGTTACAAACTGGTTTAGCCTAGCCACGTTCGACTAACTTGCAGAGATTGAATCAATTCAGGCTCAGGCTTTTTGAATGTGTGTCCCTAGCCAAAGAGAAACAACAAACCCTGCTGTGCAGTTCATCTTGATGTGTAATGAATCTGTTTGACTGTAAGGATGTGTTACAGTGCTGTAAGATGTCTGAGTGCCACATGAGATGCTCAAAATTTAACAGCCCTGTAGTTTTTCGGATTAAGAGAACTGGATTGGCATAGCTAAGCAATATAAATAATGGAAGATAAACCAGATATTGTTGAAAACTGATGTACAGATTATTTTTTTCATTGGATAATGGAATTATCTCTTCAGGATAAATCTTAAATCATATAGTGAGTTGAACAATTAAACTCTTCATTTAATAAAGTGTGGTTTTGAGGTGCTGAAGCAGGAAAGTGACTACTTGACAGACCAGCATCTAATGGTATACAGACTAGCCATATTTGTGCTTTACTTACAGTTTGGTGTAGATATCATGGTAAGCAAGTTGTGAACAGTCTCCATCAGATCATGTTGCTGTTTTTGCAGAACTGAATTGTTTACTGTGGCTGTGACTAACTGCTTTTCTAGTTCCTCTATTATAGAATTTTGTCTTGATACCAATGCTTGAAGTTGATTTTTTTCTTCTTTTACTGACTGTAGCTGAAGTGTGTGCTTGTCTTCCATCTCAAGAACTTTTTTTTCTAGAAGGCTAATAAAAATAATATAGTTAGGGTCTCAACAAAATATTTCTATGTTTATAGCTGACAAAAAAGAGTATTGAGCCTATTGCAAAAGTTTTTTCCATCTTGATAAAAACAGTTTTATTTTGATTTCTTCTGAAGATAACTTGCAGAGAAGGTTATACACGCGGTATGTAGAATGCTATGAGTTGCACTTAATTCAGTGTATGTTGAACAT